ATCCTCCAGAAGAGCATCAAGTGCTCTTAACCACTGAGTCCTCCTTTGCAAACTCTCCTTTTCAAATGTAAACCAGAACTCAACACTCAACTATTATTTTAAAGTAAATAAAAATAATTTGTTCAAGAGTCCCATCCCAACTTTGTATCTTTGGTTTTCAGAAATTTTAGTTGAAAACAACAAAAAACACTCCAAATCTCCAAACAAAAACCAAGTATATGCCCTTTGGAAATTAATAACTAAAATTTATTTCTTTTTCTGTTGCTGAGGTGAATTAAATTTGAAGAAGATAATATCTCCATCTTCAACAACATAAGTTCTGCCTTGTTGTCTGTACTTTCCAGCAGACTTAACTGCATTTTCAGAACTTTCCTCGTTAAGATCTTCATCTTTCATTACTTCAGCCATAATGAATCCCTTTCCAAAATCTGTGTGACTCTTTCCTGAAGCCTGAGGAGCCTTCACTGCTTTCCTGATGGTCCATGCATGTACTTCCTCTGGGCCTGCAGTGAGAAAGTATTCTAGTTGGAGTGCTGCAAACCCAGCCTTAATGATCTTTGGTAAAGCATTCTGTCATGCTCACTTCCAGATACTTCTGTGTCTCCTTAGCACTTTAGAATTTTTCTCACTAAGTCACCCAGGTTGGCCGTGAACTTGCAATCCTCCTGCCTTAGCTTCCGAAGTGCTGAGATTACAGGTGTGCACCACTGTGTCTGGCTAGCTGAATCTTGAGCAAGCACACACACACTTTTCCCACAAATTCCCTATGTAGCCCTCTATCACAACCACGTTTGTCCCCTCAACATCCTCTAAATACCAGATATTCAAGCATATTTCTCTGCCTAGATTATTCCCGTTGACCACGCCAAACTCTTCTGACAATTCTTACATCTTTCCATGGGGTTACAGCAGATAGAAGAGCCTACCAGGTCTCTACTTCCTGTGATATTACTGGCTCCATCATTCCTTGACAACGGGTCTGCATATACCTGCTTCCAAATGGTTCCTGCTTTTCTCTTTATGAATCTGCTTACTTCAACTGTTTACTATGTTGTTGAATACTGAGCAACCTGACACAGGTGTTTAGTAACTGGATATAACATGACTTAGAATTGATCTTATTCTTCAAGACTTTAGAAACTGGACTACATTCCTTCTAGCCTTGTCCTCTGTGGACTGAGAAGCTTCGAAGCCTTTTACTCTGCTCTAGAAGCTAGCTTTCTCCACAGTATCCTTAGGAAATGTAGTCAAATGCTGTGTGGCAGTCAAGTGCTTTTCATGGGAGAGTAAAATGGACTATTTTACTTCCATTAAAGGATTCCTCATTCAAAAGCTCTGTGTATGAATTTTGACTGCATTGAAACCTTCTGGGCCTTAGTTTCCTCAAGTGTAAAATGGTAACTACTAGTCTCACAAGGTTCTTGAACCAGCTGTGCCAACACAGGTAAAGCCTGGTATACTTACTTCCTCACTCACAGTAGCCTACAGTACTTGTCAGCTGCTTTTCAAAGGTGACTTTGAAAGACAAGTCTAGTTTGGGTTGCAGGTGGTAGACTAAAACTCTCAGGAGGTAGAAGAGAAGCAGAAGCACCACACTTCTCCTTGCAGCAGGGACCTACTCCCATAGGGGGCTCAGCATTGGCTAAAGCTATGGAAGGAGGCAGAGGGGACTGGCAGGTGGCACCCTTCTGAATCACAGCAGTGGCACAACTGGCACTAGAACTGCATCCTGAAGGAGATGAAGCAGTTGCCAACCCAGTGCACAGGTGAGTAAGTAACTCAGGTAAACCATGAGCTGACAGTAAGTTAAAAAGACGATTGGGGCCTGAGGATGTAGCTCAGTTCTAAAATACTTGCCTAGCATATACAAGGCTATGAGTTCAATTCCCAGCAGCAGGGGAGGAATCAGGTCTAGTAAGATAATATCACAAACAAATCTCTAAACTCCTCAGAAATGAACAGGATAGGCAAGAAGAGCCAAGCAGAACAAAGGGCTGCAGGGCTGGTTGGTTAGCCAACACTGCAGCTGCCCTCCTCCACCCTACAAGATAGGGAAGGACAGCAGGCTTGTAGAAGGATGGGTCTTTCATTTACCTTCCAAGCTGGAAATTGTTTGCTATAACTGAATTGGAAATTGTTTGCTATAACTTAATCTTTCAGTGTAAAGGCCTTCCAAGTTGGTCATGAAAATATCTTAATTGGGAGAAAAATATTGAAGGCTGTGAAAGAAAAAAATAGGGCACTAAGGGGCTAGAAGGATAGCTCAGTGGTTAAGAATACTGGCTGCTCTTGCAGAGGACCCAGGTTCAATTCTCAGCACCTATATGGCAGCTAACAACTGTCAGTAACTTCGGTTCCAGGGCATCTGATACCTTCTTCTGACCTCCACGGGCACTGCATGACCCTGGTGCACTTACACACATGCAGGCAATATATTCATACACATAAAATAAAAATATTTAAAAAAAATAGAGAGCTAAACAAAATAAATAAACAGAGCAGTTGGAAGAAAACTTTTTCTTCTGAGGCAGATTTCACATTGTAGCCTAGGCTGGCCTGGAACTCATTATGTGGATCAGGCTGGCCTCAAACTCACAACAATCCTTCTGCCTCAGCCTCTTGAGAGCTGTAATTACAGGTAAGAGCCACCATACCTGTCTAAGAAATAATTCTTAAAATCCAAATGAAATTTATATTACATACAAATGGCTTCTGTAGTTTATTGATGTGGACCCTATGCACAGCAGGAAAACACTAGCTTAATTAAGTGGGGAACTAGAAGTCTATGACTAGAAAGGATAGGAATGAACAAGAATGAAACCTAGAGTCTACTACAAAATTTCTCAAGATTTTAAGGGACAGCAAGGGTATCTAAGGGTTTCTAGAGGTGACAAGCAGGAGGGAAACCCATTAAAAAATCTTCCATTTGCCGGCCTGGAGAAATCTGCACACCAGGGGCTCGTGTCTAAGGAAAGTGCTACTATGTATGAAGAAAAATAAGCCTGGGTATACTGGCACAGGTGGAATAAAAGTCAGGTAAAGCTAGTCTAGCAAGGAGGCGGCAGAGAGAGGCAGAGGTCCAAGTAAGGACCAAATGGAAAGAAGACAGATGGAGGACAAGAAAGAAGGACCATGGAAAAATGTTATCCTCAACTGCAAGGTGGGCCTGGCAGCCCTATGACAGTCAGACGGAAGGGAAGAAGCCTTTCCTTACCTGTGCTGCTTGGCCATTTAACCTTTCCTTTCTGTGCTAAATGAGAGGCATTTGGGGGGGATTTATGGATCAAAATATGCCACATCTGGCAAACAACAAATATTCTCATGTAGCCAAGAACAGCCGCAGAGGTCCCCTGCTTGGCATCAAGTTTTCTGGCCAGACAATCCCAAGATACACTTAGAAAAACTGTTCCAGGAATAATGTTCAGAGTGCCTACCTGGTTGGGACAATGTCATTCTGTCCTTTGATTCTGCAGGCCACCATGCAATCCTCATGCACCTCCCCTCATAGTCAAACTTGAAATTTTTTTTTTTTTTTAATTTTTTGGTCTTTTTGAGACAGGGTCTCTCTGTAGCCCCAGCTGTCCTGTAACTCACCATGCAGACCAGGCTGGCCTTGAACTCACAGAGATCCACCTGCCTCTGCCTCCCAAGTGCTGGGATTAAAGGCATGTGCTACCACGCCCAGCCCATTTTTATTTTTCAGTAAATATATCTCAAAACATTTTGGAAATATAATTTCAGGACTTCTCAAATGTCCTGGGGATGCCGAGGGACATGATGAAACCAGGGTTATGCTCTGGTATTAGAACCACTGTGGTCCATTATCCTGGAGATCAAGCTCTCAACATGGGCTCAGCTGGCAAACTCAGGCTGGCTGACCTGACACAAGTTTCTCTGAAAATGGCCAGGAAAGACAAGCCTTTCACCAAAGCATATAGAATATGTTATGCTCAGGAAAATACCTGATCCAACTACACAAGGAAGGACACGGGTGCCCCACAATTCACAGAGGCAGTCTCTGGGAGTAAGGGCAGAATTCCAAAATGCATGGTTGAATTAAAAGTGAAACAACACTTTTAACATAGGAAGTGCAGTGGCACAGACAACTTTCTCAGAACAGTCACCAAGCTCAGAGTTTGAAATAGGTAAAGAAATGGGTAGTGGTTGGCGTGCAGAAGTTAGCCAGGGTGAGGCATGGAGGAATAAGAGGAATAAGTGGACAGTTCTGGAGTTTGATAGTCATATGGAAAGATATCTGCCTCAGTAAAGCCTCATTTAAAAAACAAAACAAAACAAAACAAAACAAGACACTTTTTATTGGGTGTTAACTCTCAGGATATGAATGAATTTGGCAATGAGTGAGTTTCCCAGGAGTCAGGGCAGGGTGGTGCTGGTCCAGAGTGCATCCTGTGTATGGGGCCCACTTCAGTGGTGCCTTGTTGCCACCCACGTTTGACTTCTTTGTAAGAAAGGCAGGCGCAGAAAAGCACATAAGCTGACATCACCGTGCCAGCCCAGCCGCGCTTCCCTTCTTTACAATGATATATTTGTCATAGCACAGTAGCCATCTCTTTGAAATGCTCCAACAATGCTTGTAAGAGTGAAATCCTACATCCATGTCCAGCTTAGCAGCTCCCCCACTTTGACATCCATGAGTTTCTTCTTCAGTTGTAGGACTGATGCCATCTTGGAGTCCTCATATTGGCCATGCCCAGGAAACTTCATCTTGATCATTCATTTTCCCTTTCTATCTGAGCTGTATTTGCATAGCCAACTTGTCACCAGGGACAAGTTCTTTATAAAAAGAATTCCAACCAATGAATGAAAAAGAACAACACTAGAGATATGCAGTTATCAATGGTTACTAATGCTATTGAACGACTGGATGACGGGGACTGCATCGCAGGGGAATCAGACCATCCACGAAGAAGCAGAGCCTGGAATGGCAGCGTAGCAGTTACTGCACCCTCAGCTGCTTCCTTCTTTCCCCAAAGATGAACCCACCTGAAGCCTTCTTGCCAGGATCCACTTGCAACCTCCATAGTCTGCCATAAAGAGGCCTGACAAGAACACAGAACTGTTACAAAGCACTGTGCAAGATGGGCCACTAGAACCTGCCACAGCTCTGCACCTTCCCACACACCCTAGTGCACAGGGCATCTCTGATGCCCACATGAAACATGTAACAAACCTTTGTTGAACACACCAGCTCACTGAGTGTTTACAAAAACATACCATATAGCCAGCTCTCAGCTGAGCCAAAGGGAGGGTAGGTCACTCCCCAGACCTTTCTAAAGTGGCATTTATGATGTGGTTTTCCTGCAGTAGACCTACCTTCCTGATTATGTCTTCCTTAAGCTAATATGAGAACTAATTTATATTTCCTAAGTACCTAGCAGCTGGGTGGGGGGTTGAGGGGATGGTCTAGACTTACACTGGCCTGTTTGAAGAAACTAAGAATTTACAGTGTGTCATGCTGGAGAGATGGCTCAGCGGTTAAGAGCACTGACTGCTCCTGCAGAGGACCCGGGTTCAATTTCCAACACCCACATGGTGGCTACGAACCATCCTTAACTCCAGTTCCAGGGGAATCCGAAGCCCTCTTCTGACCTCTGCGGCATTGCATGACACGGGTGCACTCACATACATTCAGGCAATATACTCATAGACATAAAATAAAAATAATAAAAAAAATATTAAAAAAAAATATGTGTCACAAGCAAGCCAGGTATGGTGGCACACGCCTTTATTCCCAACACTTGGGAGGCAGAGGCAAGCAGATCTCTGTGAGTTCAAGGCCAGCCTGGTCTACATAGTGAGTTCCAGGCCAGCTGGGGCTATAGGAAGACCCTGTCTCAAAACAAACAAACAAACAAACCAACCAACCAACCAACCAACCAGAAGAAAGCCCTACCAGAAGCCATATGGTTGTTAAATGAAAATCCCAGTGCCAGAGGTGGGTTGCCCTCCTCCCCCATGAGCTATTGGCCAGAGGTGCCCTAGAGGTCCTCAAAACAATAAAGGCCATTGCCAATGATGTTGGTTGTACACCTCAAGTGGATGGTAAAACCCTTTTGCTGAAGACACCGCATAATGTGAGCGTGGGAGAGGGAGAAATCCAGCTTGGACTAAGCTGGAAACTCTCTGCCACTGGATGGGTGGCTTTCATAATGCCAGAAGGTTATATACAGATGGCTGGGGGAGAACCGTCCCCTATAATTCTGCTCAACGATGGACCCTAAGTGCTGCACTACCAACATGCCAAACAAGATGTTCCTGCTGGTGTAATAGTGACACTTCTAGTGTATGTACAACAAGCAAATTTTTGATTGGATATAATGCCCAGTCCAAGGGGGTGGAACACACATCTGGTATTCTAGACCAGGCCAACCCCCTGTGGCCGGGGAGGTTATAGGCCCCAGTTGGGAAGCCACTGCAATTGTTCTGTTAGATGGATGTGATGCCCCTGCTAAAGTACTGTCCAAGCATTTGTGTTTACGCCCATAAGTTATTATAGCACTGTTCAGAAGTTCTTTCTTCTTGCTGTTTGAGTTTTTACAGTAGATGGAATCCCACTGAAATGGGCCAACAGCCCATGGAAAACAGAATACAGAGATCTGAAAGTTCAGTGCCTTGCCACATTGGGAGGAAGCTCATTCCACACCTATCACCCTCTTCAATGTAAGAATATAAGATCCAGAGGAAAGGGTGGAGTGTTACCTGGAAGTGTCCCTTGACCACTATGCTGGCAAGCTATAGTCAAGGGGGTAGTCAGTTATCCCTCCCACCCAATTAGTTGACCTTAGCTGCATTTGGGGGAGGAGCTAAGGATATATAAGCCGAGAACGCCATGAGGCACCTCTCAACATTTTGTGCGGCTGTGAACCGGGTGTGTGTGTGTGTGTGTGTGTGTGTGTGTGTGTGTGTGTGTGTG